TATCTGCAACACTACCTACGTGACCGGGACTACCCGCACGACGATACCTATGTCACCGTCGATGAGGATGCGCCCGAAACTTCGGACCCGCCGCCGCCCTCCAGCGACTCGGAGCGCTACGACGCGCCCAGTCCCGACGATGCCAAGCCGCGCTCTTCCTCGCCCAAGAAGCACAAGCAGAAGTCCTCCTCGCAGCTTATCAAGCCGCCCTACTCGTACATCGCGCTCATTACTATGGCCATCCTACAATCGCCGCATAAGAAGCTCACGCTGAGTGGCATCTGTGAATTCATTATGACACGCTTTCCCTACTACCGAGAGAAGTTCCCCGCCTGGCAGAACTCGATCCGGCATAACCTCAGCCTGAACGATTGCTTCATCAAGATTCCTCGCGAGCCGGGCAATCCTGGCAAGGGCAATTACTGGACGCTGGACCCGCTCGCTGAGGACATGTTTGACAACGGCAGCTTCCTGCGCCGTCGCAAGCGCTACAAGCGGCCTGCGCCCTCGTTGCAGCACGCGCATGCCATGGTGGCGATGCTGGCGCGTGAGGCGTACGCACCGCTCCTGCCGCTTCCATGCTACCTGCCGCCGGCGCCACTGCTAACGCTGCCCCGCCCTCCGCCTGCCGCGCTTCGCCCAGTGCCGTTGCCGCCGCGTATCGCCGAGATCACCGAGCCCAGGGAAAAGAGATCCAGGAATGGCTTCTCCATCGAATCTATAATTGGCAACCAGGAGGACGGAGTTGGTGAGCCGCGGCGGAGCGCTTTCTCACCGCTGCACCTGTCCGCCGTGCCGCCAGACGACTGGGCCAGGTGAATGTGTCTTAATGGGTGCGTTTTGAGTCCTCCTCCGTATTGAAACGAACCCGTGGACAATGAGAGATACGAAATTGTGAGAACGCTTTAATTCACGACCGTGTCTTCAGTGCCGTGACTTTTGCCGGGTAAACTATCGGTAAATTCCGTTCGTAATGACGACCAAAACAAAACTTAGTAAACCAGTAATCTACGTATTTTTGTATGCGAATGCATGATTTTCAATCTGTGTAAGCAAAACTCTTGTTTGGACACAGTATCGCATTAAACAAATTGTTTTTTTTAATTTGCAAATTTAATCTAACAATATGAATTTCGTCCGTTACGTAGTAGTAAGTATCAATAAACGAGCCAAAACTTACATCGTGACTTTTTGATAAAATTCTATACATTTTAAAGCTATTATTAATTTATATAATTTTATTATCTGTCCGTTTTTATAACGTATTATAAATATAACTCGTTTTATTATTAAAACTGCTATTAATCGGTTAAAATATAAAATATTCGAGGTGTGAATTTTGTTAAAAAGTTACGATTAATTATGAATAATTCTAGTCACTCTGTACAAAGTAGTTATTATATATGAATTGTAAATATTTGTAAAATCATCTGTTAATGTAAGATAGTATATAGATGTATAGTTTAGTGAGGCGAACACCGCACTTGTAATAACAAGATGTTGTACTTGTAGTCTTATTTTATGTACCTATTAGTTAATTTAAGATGAAATATATATGAATATGACAACTTAATAATTTTTATTATTTGCTAAATTTCTTCCGCAGGAAATAATGTGATATCTGTATATATATAATTCTTCTGTGAGTGTGTATGTCACTGAACTTCTCTCAAACGACTGGACCGATTTTGATGAAATTTTTTGTGTGTGTTCAAAGGGATCTGGGAATGGTTTAGATTCACAATTTTCATCAAATATTAACTTCATATTAATTTATTCAAATTAAAGACGTGTAGACAGGACAACGTCTGTCGGGTCCGCTAGTGTATATATATAAAAGTCAATTGCTGTTTGGTGGTCTCGCTAAAACTCGAGAACGGCTGAACGGATTTATCTTATCTTGGTCTTGAAATGTTCGTGGAGGTCTAGAGAAGGTTTAATATGTCATAAAAATTCGAATAATTCCCAGGAACTAATTATGTTTTTTTTATTAACGCGCGCACGGTGTTGCGGGCAATTGCTAGTTATAATTTGAATTTATGAAAAGTAGCTTTAAGGCAATAAAATGGTAACCAAAGTAACTGAAAATTTCAGAGTAACTAGAGAATATTACTAATATTATAAATGCGAATGTTTAGATGTATGGATGGATGTTTGTTTAAAGGTATCTCCGGAACGGCTAAATTCACAGGCATCTTATTAAGTATTTTTTATAATTCTGCGCGGTCGAAGTCGCGTGCGACAGCTAGTATAATATAATTAAATGGTTAAAACGTTTAGAAATGTATAGAAAATTTGACTTAATTTTTATTTCTTGAGGAAAAGGCGTTGTTTTTCTTAAGAGTAGCTAATTTATTTGTACCTCTTTGAGGAGACATTAAAATATACTAGTGGGTAAATTACACGCTAGTTTATATTTTAGTGATAAAAGATTCTCAAAATTAGGTTCTAAAATTTCTACAAGTTATTCCGGTAAAAATACTTAAATAAAAAAGTAAAAAAGCGAAAACGTAACAAAACTACTTATTGTCATACTCAGAGTTGTTGGTTTGTCATTTAGGGAATCCTTAAATTTCTTTTACAGCGGTACAGCAACCGGTGAAAAGCCACGACCACACAAAGGACAGGTGTCAAGTGGGAGTCATTCCACCTTCCGTCTGAAGAGTGTGCGTGCAGGAGACCTAATATTAGTCCTCTTCATCTATCCATCATATATAAGGAAATTATGGGAAGGGAAAGTGAATTTGGCGGAGGAGGGACGTTTGCGACGTTTTCGGAATTGGAAATGTTCTCTATCTCTGTGTCGCTTTCTCAGACAATTAAAGATTGCAGATGTTTTTGGGTAGCGGTGGCTTAGTTATTTGGGAGAAATAAGGTGGCCGCTTGCTAGTTTGCCACTTCATACGATAAACAATCCCTTAGTTTAGATTTAGTAAATGGGAAATCTTCTAAATGTTTAAGTAGCACTAAAACGACTATGAGTGTAACAGTTAGAAGGACATTAAAATAATACGTTTTGTATTGACAATAGTTTCCGTTGGTAACTCTTTATCTTCATAACAAAGTTGTCGACGCATGAAATCACAATGACGAGTCCGTTAATGACTTTCTAAGATAACATAAATAAACTGGCAATTTCTCTTATGTTTACACTAAACAAACATTTGCTCGCGTATATCATTTAAATCTGTTACTCTTATCAAACGAGGGTTGTACAAAATTAATTCGCAACTCAAAATGCTACCTGTACTCTAATTAATAATAAATCTTATATAAAAACGGCTAAAAACTTACGTATATTCGTCTGGTGGCGGCACCGACTAGTTTCGAGTTCATCGCGGGCCCTTCATCAGGATGAGTCTAGTCTAAGTCTGAGAAACTAGTCGGTGCCGCCACCGGACGAATATACGTGAGTGTTTAGCCGTTTTTATATAAGTTTATTATAATGTCTCACGAAAGTTTGAACAATTTATTAATAAATCTATAGCCCGTTCTTTGCAGAATAGACGTTTTATCCAAGCCAATTTCATAAATTATTCTTTTCTAAGTTAATCACACAAACAAGGAATGAACAAACTTATGTTTTGGTTGTATATTTATTAAAACCGTTTGGTAAACGCTCCTATATTCTAGCGGTCAGATTTATTGCATCTGATTGCAATATCAATTTCTAACTAAAATAATACAAGTAGTTTTTTAAATTTGCTGACATTTTAGAGACTGACGCGAATTACCTCAAAAAAGCTCGCAGTTATGGTTATTCTAAGGCAATGCCCCCGCAGATTGCTCAATATTACATGTAACTAACTTAGTATTTTATGTAACATATTAAAGAAATCAATAAGAAAATATTACCCTAAACATACTTACATAAGAGGTGAAAATGATTGAAACACGACCCTGTGTTTCCTTGCAGCAACATTGTAAGGCATGTAATAACAAAATTAGCTTCAGTTGAAACAGTTTATTCTATGTGCAAATGTATGCGACATTAGTTTGTTTAGACGACGCGTTTGTTATATGACAGATGTATGGACAACATACAGCATGTTCTAAATATCTTTTCTCTAACTTAATAAAATACATCTAGATACATCATGTAGAAGGCAAAAGAATAATATCTGGAAATTTAAATATGTAACTTAGTTTTTGTTTCTAATTAAAATTTAAGTTTGAAGTTATTTCACCTTATTTAATGTAATTTTAAGATCCATCGTGATAAGAGCATGCTTTCGAAAGGCATACAATATATTGACACAAATATTTACACAGCCTGTATTCATGTTACTTAGACATGAAAATAAGTGATCAATTTTGCTGTTACGCTACTCTGAAATAAAAGGGCATTCTTATTTGCTTAGTTTTATTTATAGTATAGTTATATTTTCTTTCTGTGCATCCTCTCCTCCGTCGATTAAAGGTAGGCAACGCATATGCTATTGCGTACGTCTATGGGCAACGGGCACTTCCCTATTTCAGCGATTTCAGGTGACCGCTCGCTCGTTTGCCACCTTATGATATATAAAAAAAGTTTTTAAATAAACACTCTTTGTAATAATTTAAATAATCATTTTGATTACTAGTTTAAGTTAGATAATATTATTTTCCTTACAATAATGTTACAATGTTTATGAATTACAACATTTATCTTGTCACACGTTTGTTGTGTTGATGGCGCGCCTATTTTAAGATTTATTAATCAACTGAAGCTGAAAACTGTAATATTTTTAAATAAACATAAACATATTTTGGCTTTTAAGACCACTAAGAAACGAATGACCAAAGAGACCAGAATCGTGCATCCTGAAAGAACGCCATAATCTTACTAATATAAATGCGAATGTTTAGATGGATGTATGTTTGTTTGAAGGTATGTCTAAAATGTAGCTGACATGGATTTCGCTGAAATTTGGCATAGATATAGAACTTAGTCTGGAAGAACACATAGGCTAATATTTTAGTTTTTTTTTTAATTCCGCGCGGACGGAGTCGCGGCCGATAGCTAGAGTTTTATAAACGAAACAAAATCTGTTGATATGATTTACCAATGTCAGCTATTTGCCAGCCGTTATAAGCAAGTTTATTGTAAAATTTGACCAACTTAAATACCGTAAAACATTACCAACAAAGCATAAATGAAAATAACGCACTTTTATAGATAATCAGTTGAATGTCGAACTCTATGACTTATTTTTGTCTCATAAACAAATCGAGGGCATGTGAGTAATGTAATAAAAACGTGTTCACAATGCCATATCAGTTCTACCTCTACCCTTTGAATAAACAATACGTTTAGTAATTTAAAGAAAACTAGAGCAAGCAGTGTTTACATATCCAAACGGCCCCGTCAATCTTGCTCAAACAATCATAACATTTCGTCGTTGAGACAACAAGATATGGAGTTATTACGAAAAAGGTTAACCCACAATCCTACTAAAGGTATAGACGGACTAAATTATCTGACCTGGTAGGATTACACTAGTTTAAAATAACTCTTTAAACCCCCTGTGAACGTCAAAAAACTGCGACGAAATCCTTGTACTGTAGCTGGCTTGTATTTTTCTTTTTTTGTGCCAAAAATAATTTACTTATTTTTTGACACAACTAACCAAGATAGCTCCTTACCGGGTCAGATATCTTTGTCGGACTATACATGTTTACAGATTTTCACCACCGAAACAAATGTATTAGAACATTTTGTTATTTCAGTTTTAGCAAAGGTGAGAGGCATGGTATTTTTTGTAAAGCAATATCATATTGAACTTATCGTCATCCATGCCTTTGACTAAATAGAGATACCAACACGTATGAACTGAATTTTTGGTCTCAGAAACTCACGGTTAAACCAATAAAAACAATAGTTAAATGTAAAATTATTTTGTTTAAAATAAAAAATAGCTCTAAAAATCTTCTATCGTTATCATATTCGCGTCTGAAATAAATGATAATAAATAAATATATCTTTCAACAGTAATCTAGTAGGAATTGTGAAACGTAGCACGTGTTAGGGCAAAGCAAATATTCTGTTGAGTCAATATTTATGAACTAATTACATCATTTAACTTTAAAAATAATTTAAATTTAAATATAACAAAAGCTATTTTTATCTTTACACAAAGGCATGCAGACATAAGATACCATTGTGTTTATATTTTTTTTAAAGTTATAA